ATGTTCATCTGTTTTTTATCTTTTTTTTTCTTTTTTAAAATTTTAATGTTTATTTATTTTTGAGAGAGATAGAATGTGAGTGTGTTAGGGGCAGAGAGAGGGAGACACAGAATCTGAAGCAGGCTCCAGGCTCTGAGCTGCCAGCACAGAGCCTGACACGGGGCTCGAACTCACCAGCTGTGAGATCATGACCTGAGCCGAAGTCGGACGCTCAACCGACTGAGCCACCCAGGCACCCCACATCTGTTTTGTATCTTAAAGTCCTCATAGGAGTGATGTCATATGATATTTGTCTTTCTCTGACTAATTTCACTTAGCATAACACACTCTAGTTCCATCCACGTAGTGGCAAATGGCAAGATTTCATTCTTTTTGATTGCCGAGTGATTCTCCATTGTATATATATACCACATCTTCTTTATCCATTTATCCATCGATGGACATTTGGGCTCTTTCCATACTTTGGCTATTGTCAATAGTGCTGCTATAAACATGGGGGTGCACGTGTCCCTATGAATCAGCATTCCTGTATCCCTTGGATAAATGCCTGGTAGTGTGCCATTGCTGGGTCGTAGGGTAGTTCTGTTTTTAGTTTTTTGAGGAACCTCCATACTGTTTTCCAGAGTGGCTGCACCAGCTTGCATTCCCAGGGAATATCCTATTTCTTATAAGCTGAGAATAGGAAACAAAAACTACTCCCTCCAAAGGCTCTTCATGGGAGTGAGCTGTGGTCTTGCTCTTCGCTGAGAAGACTGCCCTGAGGCTGCAGTTAGCTTTCTGTTTTCAACCTTCTTCCCAGTTTGAAATTTGGAGTTGGTTCCTCATGACCCTCTTGTACTAGAGATTTTTCGTTGTATCATTAGTGCTTCCACCAGCTCTTTTTTGATAAAACACACCTCCAATTCCTGCTGGAAAGCCATGCCTCTGCAGTTCTCAAAGGCTTGATTGCACAGACCATGATTGGCTGCAGCAATCAAGTTCCTTTACCTCCTGGCCACAGTGATTGGTTGAGTTGGCCAAATAACCCACGTACAACCGATGATATGAAAGGAGATGGTTGCTGGGGCTTCTGGGAAAGAGGCACCCCTCCTGCTCTTGAAGGATGTAACTGTAGAATTACACTGGCCATTTCTGCTTTCCTAAGTGGGGAGACTGGAGCTTCAGGATCAAGCCAATGCCATGGAGGCAGAGCAGGGAGGCAAACATCTTTGGCAATATCATTTAAGTCCCTGGATCAAGCTGAGCCTGAAGCTAGATACCTCAGGACTTTGCAGCTCAATCAGTAAACCAAAGTCTTTTTGTGTTTAAGGCAGTTTGGGTTGCGTTTTCTGTCACTAGCAATCACAACAGCCTCGATGGTGCACTTGCCTCTGAGGACTGGCAAGGGAGCGGAAGGAGTATCCGCCTGCTTGGAGGCTCAGTCTGAAGGTGGGGGTCAATGTGCTGGCAAGAGTGCGGGTGAAGAGGGGCTCTCATACACTGCAGGTATGAGCATAAATTAGTACAGCCTTTTGTGGGGGCTGTCTCATTATACTACAGGTATACGTGTTAATCTGGGTCCTCTGAGAAGCGAGCACCAGGATGGATTAAGTGTGCAAGGATTTTATCAGAGAAAATTGCCTCTGTGAAAGAAAATATGGGGGAGGGGCAGAGAGGGCTGGGAGAGGTGTCAGTCTGTGACACAAGTCTGCCCCCCCCTCCCCCCAGTGAAGGACAGACAGTGGAGGCATCCTAGACTGGCCTGTAGTCTAAGGCAAGTTCAGCAAGGCCATCAAGGTGTCCCTGAGCCGAAGTCCACCAACAAGGGAATGCTCTCCCCCAGAAACAGGGCTGTCTCAGGACCCTGCCTCACTTAGTCATTGCCTGGGAACAGCCTGTGGAAAGTGAGGCCTCCAAGCAAACAAAATGATGGATTTCTTTTTTTTTTTTCAAAATGATGGATTTCAACAGGAGGCCCCGAGGTGCGTTCTCATGGTGGTCGCAGGACACATACTCAGAAACCACTATTAAAAGTCAGCAGTGGTTGGGGCGCCTGGGTGGCGCAGTCGGTTGAGCGTCCGACTTCAGCCAGGTCACGATCTCGCGGTCCGTGAGTTTGAGCCCCGCGTCGGGCTCTGGGCTGATGGCTCAGAGCCTGGAGCCTGTTTCCGATTCTGTGTCTCCCTCTCTCTTTGCCTCTCGCCTGTTCATGCTCTGTCTCTCTCTGTCTCAAAAATAAATAAACGTTGAAAAAAAAAAATTAAAAAAAAAAAAGTCAGCAGTGGTTAACTCTGGCTGGTGCAATTATGGGAGACACACACAACCTAAGACACCTTTCTCTGTATATGGTTTTACAGTCCATGTCTGTATTTTTATAAAAAAAAAAAGTAATCCTATTTTAACATGGGCACACACTTTGAACAGGTAATTCCACTTCTAGGAATATATCCCCAAGAAAATAATTGAACGTGCATACAGAGATGCTTATCACTGTGTTATTTGTAAGAGTGGAAAATTAGATGGTACCTAAAAGGCTAACAATAGGAGTGTTAAATACTTTTTGCTACATCCACATGCTGGGATGGTATGCTTCATTTGCAATGATCCTATGGGTGATATATATTAATTGCCATGCGCTCCAGCATCCCTGTCTGTCTGTCCATCTATCTATACTCTAGGTGTCTAAAAATCTCTCTTGATTGTTTCCACCCCTCCCTCTATCCATCCATCCACTCATCCATCCATCCACTTACCCATCCATCCATCCATCATTCATTGATCTATTTCCCCCTCTCCACTCCCCCCATCCCCGCCCCGGATTATTCTCAGGCTTGGTTGCCTGGCTTCCCTGCCCACAGCATCTCAGCAGCAACAGTCTAGAAAAGACGGGAGATTCTGTGGGCTGTCAGAGACTGGCACAGTGACTCCCAGATATGACAGGTGACAAAAATTACCTGAACTAGACAAAGCGCATATGACCCTGAATTGTCAAGGAAAGGCTAATCTTGTTGGATATCATCTGTTTGAGGAAGCAGGAAAATGTATAACGTGGTTTAGAAAGATTCCCATCCAAAGTAGAAAAAACAGAGATATTTGTGACGCCTGTGGAATGAGTTCTTGTTTTCTGGAAAAGTCACCTCGGCCGAGCTCCTCATTCCCCAAAGCTGCCTGATAAATCACAGTCAGAGCTGAAGGGGAGTGTATCTCCATTATATACAAGAGAAAACTGAAATTCAGGGAGGTTAAGCCACTTAGATAAGGTCACACAGTAAGCCGAAGTGGTGGGATCCGAATCTATGTCTTTTTGATTCCAGTTGTGATATCATGGAGATGTGCCACCCTCCTTCAAGGATGAGGACAGAGAGCTTTCAGCTTTCAGCTCCTTCAGGGTCAGCTGCAGCCACAGAGAGGTCACATCCTTTCTGGGGAAGCCTGCATCACTGACTGAGTGAAGTATGGGTCTAAAGTCCTGGCCACTTCAGCCCTATGTGGTCCACTCCAACGGTCAGGATTTCTCCCGGATCTCCTGGCCAGGTTGGCTGATAATTTGCCAGACTGCACCCCAGTTCCACTCCTTCCTCTGCTTTCTCTTCCCAGGTATTGGTTCCTAATAAACAATCTCTACTCCAAACTCTGTCTCAGCAACCGCTGCCAGAAAACTCAGTCTAGAACCAGTGATGCTGGGAGCAGTCTGAAAAAGCCACAAGATGGGGCTTAGGACCTGGATTGCTCCCCTGCCCCCCTCTAGGTTGGCAATCAATAGCGGTGGGTGGAACACAGCCTCTGGCACAAGGTGGTCCAAACCTCCATAGACTGAGCTGGGAGGGTGTACCAGGGGGAGGGAATGTCCTAGCAGAAGCCATGTATCAGGTAGTTGATGAACAAAGAAAACAGTAGCCCTAAGCATAACTAGGTTGGATGGCTATTGCTACAAGGCTTTGCAGGATACTAAACAGCCAAGGACAAGTAACAGGCCCTTCCTCTAGGAGTGAAAACCAGAGAGCCTCTTGGGTTGCAGACAAGGAAGCTGGCAGGAGGGCAGACCAAGCCCGAGACTCAGAGTGACCGAACTTCAAAGGCAGTTAAGCTCCCAAGGAAAGCAGTGTTACACTATGGTCAGGGCCCCGACTGGGACCCTGACACATGGGATGAGGTCATCTGGGTGGTGCCCCCCAAAGATGTTTCCACTTGAGGGGCCATTATGAATAATGCTGCTATGACCCCTCATGTTTGAATACCTGTGTTCAATACTACTGGGTATATACCCAGAATTGGAATCACTGAGTCCTTTGGTAATTCTATATTTAACTTTTTGGGGAAGCACCATACTCTTTTCCAGAATGGCTTCACCATTATATATTGCCACCAGCAATGTATAAATTTGTTGATATTTTTGGGTTTTGGGGGGAACGACTCTCCTCTTTGGGCCCACATGGTTCAGATGATACTAACTCCCACCACTCTCTGCCCTAGAGATGGGCATCTAAACAACCAGAATTTGCCAAAGCGGAATAGGCGTGTGACTGAGCCAGGCCCATGAAATTCAACACTGAGTCTCAAACAACCTTGGATTTGTATTGCTTACATATATCCACCACCCTTGTTTCTTAATTAAGCCAGTTTCAGTGTGACCAAGTCACCACTCTGTATCATTAAGACTTGCTTGTTTGAAACCTCTGCCTGGGGCGGCACCTGGGTGGCTCAGTCGGTTAAGCATCTGACTCTTGATTTAGGCTCAGGTCATGATCTCATGGTTCGTGAGATTGAGCCCCATGTTGGACTCCATGCTGACAACGTAGAGTCTGCTTGGGATTCTCTCTCTCTCTCTCTCTCTCTCTCTCTCTGCCTCTCCTCTTCTCTCTCAAAATAAATAAAAATACACATTAAAAAATTAAAAAAAAAATCTCTGCCCAGGAACTTTATCTCTTCTGTGACTTATATTTATTGAGTGTCAGATTTACACTAGGTATACCTACATGATGTGCTGGAGTTGGGCTCACTTTTGATGGGGCAAGACCGGCTCAGTGAATGGTCAGAGACGCGATCTTGCAGACGAAGGGGAACTTGCGGCTGCATGTGTTATCATTCCATGACCTCAGAGCTGCAGTGAGAAGAAGCATAGAATCCGGGTGAGGGTCCACCTACCACAGTAAAAGTAACCTCACCGCCCCACTGGAGTAAAAGCCCTCTCCTGTGGCCTCATGTCTGCACTGGCACCCCTTTCTGGCTGATGCTTGATGAGGCTGCTGTCCGGCCCTTCTCTCTCCTGAGGCTGGTCCTGACTTGCTGCTGTGGAGGGGCAGGACACCCTTTACCCAGGGGCTTGGCCCAGCTCTGACTCCCAGGCTCCAGACTGGCTCCCAGGATAGCAAGTCCCTGTTCCCTACCTCCCTATTCGAATCAGGAAAAGAAAAAGGGGCGCAGAAGGAGCAGGAGTTGGGTGCTTGAATCTGGACTTTGGTAGATCCAGGTTTGAAACCCATTTCACTACTTGCTGTGTGACCAAGAACAAATTGTTTAACATCTCTGAGCTTCCATTTCTTCATCTGCAAAATGAGAATATGAATCATTTTCACTTCTCCAGATCGGGTTGAGGAGTGATGATGTTGCTCATGCTGATGGCGGTGATTGCTAATACCACATGCAAATCGTTGTGGCCACTTTATATACATTAGCTTCTTTCCTCTTCACAGCAACCTTGTGCGTTAAGTATCATTAGCCCATTTTGCAGATGCAGACTCTGAGCCAGGAGGTTAAGGCATTCACTTTGGACCACGCGATTAATAAGGGGTGGAGCTGGGGTTCTGAGAACAGCTGGATCAGCTGTGCCTCCTATAATCCTCACGTCTGCCCTTACTAAATCCATTTTACAGAAGAGGAAGCGGAATCTCAGAGTGAATAAGTGATTCCCTGCAAGGTTACAGAGCTAGAAAGCAGCAAGGCAAGGGCTTGGACCCAGGTGTATATCCTTTTCACTACTTCCACCTCGGTGCTTCTCCAGGCATACCTCTGCTCTGATAGTGAGGAGCACGAGCCTGGGGTCGGGGCTGGCACTCCAGCGCACTGGGGAGCTGACACAGAAGCACCATCTTTTGACTACGGTCTGTGCGACCCCGCCCCTCCAACCTGCCCCATGCTTCTGCCTCTAATGTCTTTTTAATCCAAGCAGGGTCTGCAGGTCAACAATGCCCCGCTACCTACTGTTTAAACTGTATCCACGGCGGAGAAGGGCCCGGCCCCCAACCCCGCCCACTCCGCCCCCACCAGCCCCCTAACGCCCAGGAAAAGGAGGGGGCAAGCAGTCTCTCTGCCATCCCCGGCTCCTCCCCAGCACCCCTGCAAAAGCCCTGATCTCGCGGGCACTCACCGCTGGTGGGCCGGTACCATATCTGCACGCAGTCCTCTTCTGGGTCCTTGTGGACACCGTCGTCCGGCTGGCTTCCGTCCCAGTAGCTGTAGTCATAGGAGGAGCCGTCGGTCCATTCAAACTGCCCTTCCTGGGCAGTCCCATCCAGAGTGGAGGAAGCCAGTCCGTGAGAGAAAGATCTGGCATCAGAGCCAGCCCCAGCTCAAGGCTGACATTCTAACGCCTCCATATGGAACAATGCAGAAGTCCTCACTTTGGAGGCGCCTAGGGGCTCGGTCCGTTAAGCCTTGGACTCCTGATTTGGGCTCACAGCTTGTGGGATGGAGCCCTGCCTTCTCGGGATTCTCTCTCTCCCTCTCTCTCTCTCTGCCCCGCCCCAACTCGTGGGCGCACGCATGAGCCTGCATGCTCATGAGCTCTCTCTCTCTCTCTCAAAAAGAATCTTAACAAACAAACAAACAAACAAACTTTTTAAAAAGTCCTGGGGCGCCTGGGGGGCTCACTCAACTGAGCTTCCCACTTTGGCTCAGGTTATGATCTCAAGGTTCCTGAGTTTGAGCCCTGAGTTGAGCTGTGTGCTGACAGTATGGAGCCTGTTTGGGATTCTCTCTCTCTCTCTCTCTCTCTCTCTCTCTCTCTCTCTCTCTCCATCTCACCCAGTCTCTCTCTCTCTCTCTCTCTCTCAAAATAAATATATAAGGGTGCCTGGGTAGCTCGGTCAGTTAAGCCTCCGACTTCGGCTCAGGTCATGATCTCCTGGTTAATGGGTTTGAGCCCCACGTGGGGCTCTGTGTTGATAGCTCAGAGCCTGGAGCCTGCTTCGGAGTCTGTGTCTCACATTCTCTCTCTCTCTCAACAATAAATATTAAAATATTTTTAAAAAGTCCTCAGTTTGATGCGAGATACTGCTATTATACTATCACTACTAGCTGCTGTTTATTGAAGGTTCATTAGTTGCCATCAGGTGCTCTACTTATTTTCTCCCCACCGTTGTCCAAGCAGGCATCGTCATGTCTATTGCACAGATGAGAAAACTCAGACTCAGATTGGCCTAGCCAAATTCACATAGCTAATAAAGCATTGGTGCTGGCATTCAAACCCAGGTCTGTGAGACTCCGTGCCCAAGATTTTAACTACTACACTTTTTTTTTTTTAATTCAATTTACCAGCAGACCGGAGTCACCCTTCATTTCTTTCCTTTTGTCCCTGTACTGTGTATTTTTCTTGCCTGATGTGAGACTTCTCTGTCCAATTACAAGAAAACTCCTGTTGGGAATTTGATTGGTGTTAAAATAAATGTGCAAATTAACTGTGGAAAGAACTATATCCTTGCCATGTTCTGGAACACAAGCCATTTCTGCATTTATTCAAGTCCTTAGAAAAGTCTCCCCCGAAAGACTGATGATTACGGAGGTGGCATCAGATAATGGAAACAGCATGCTGCTTCTGAGAGAGAGGCTAGAGCTAGATGCTACCCACCTCCTCAGCGCCATCTGGACAGGTTATCTAACCTCCCCAGCCTCAGTTTCCACACCTTTACAATGGAGCTAGTCTCTCCCTCAGAAAGCTGTTGTGAGCAGTAATGAAGTAAAGGGCACAAAGGTCTTAGCCAGTGCCCTGCAAGGAAGATTTTAAAAAACAAGATCTTTTACTGTATTGTTTGTTATTACTACACTTAATTATTGTAATACAAGTTCCTTAAACCCTAAGTGTACTCACAATCCTTTTTTTCTCTAAGTTTATTTATTTAAGTAATTTCTATACCCAACGTGGGACTCACACTCATGACCTTGAGATCAAGAGTCACATGCTCTTCTGACTGAGCCAGCCAGGCGCCCCTATAATCCCATTTTAAAAATTTATTTATGGGGCACCTAGGTGGCTCAGTCAGTTAAGCGGCTGACTTCGGCTCAGGTTATGATCTCGCGGTCTGTGAGTTC